GGTGGACCGCTTGATTGGGCTGCGCCTGTACTGCATGGCTTTATGACCAGTGATATGCACTATCATGCCCTATCCGGGACAGAGGGGAAGGGAAGTATGCTGAGGGCCCCAACTACATTGCTACATCCTCAGAAGGTATATAGTCAAACATATTTAGACCATGTTAGAGCCACCAAGCTCAACTGAAATATACATTCTCGCAAGATTGTTTTACTGGTCCAACCTGTGGGCTTTGGTTGCTGCTCAAACAACACTTGGGCTCCTTCTGCCCGTACCTGGTCTTGCCACGATTGACTCATGACTCATGTCCTTCAAAGCCACCAGTTTCCGGAAAAAAAACAAAACAAACAATCACCGGGAGGTGCACCAGCAAAATAGGCTACGCAACTGATTGATGTACTGTTCTGACTTCCTTTCCTGACCTCAAGAAAGCCAGGTTTGCCATGCCAGCAGCTTGTGCTTCTCCACCGACGGCAGCAAAATCATCGGGGGATTCCCCTTCTACTTGAGGGCCGGGGCCCCTCGAGAATGGAACGGCGGAATGAAAGGGTTGGGTTTGCTGGGCTCAATCTGGAACTGCTGCTTCAGTCATTTTCTTGCAATTTGATCCATATTCATGGTATTCAATAACAAGGGACCACCTGGTTGCGCTTATAGAAGGTCATCACATGTCATCACAATAAACGTCGATGTGTTTTGCTTCTATACGGTGCCAAGATGTGCCAGGTACTGAAAGCTAACCATGGTCCTTAGTTTGAGGGCAGATCCTGGCATGGATATCGGAACTAGTTCATCGAGTACAGGTATAGCAGGTTTGTGTCTAGGAGAGTCATTGCGAGTTTGGGCAAATCTTATAGAATTTTGATGAATCTTGTAGACTTTTAATGACTTTAGTGGTGTCATCACCGATGAATAAGAAAGAGAAGTGCATGGACAGCTGCCCATTTGAACAGCTGTGACCTGAAATATGTCAGACCATTTGGCTGAAGGTCTTTGACCTTCAGCGACCTGGACGTCAAGTCGAGGCCAGTCAGCGGATGGGGCCAGGCCTTTGCGTGAACCCCCTCGGTTTGCACAGTGGACTAGGCGAATTAGTCAGGCTAGACAGAGTCTTTGAGTCCACTCCATGTCTTGGAGTCTTTGATCGTTGCAAATTGTTGCAAACAAATCGCTCGAAAAAAGGAGTTCTGGAACACACATCGTTCGAAATCAATCGTAACAAATCTTCTCGTCGACCAGGTTTTTTCTTCGAAACCGAAACCACCATTTATGCATAAATCCACTCGGAATGAGCTCGAAGGACGTTTTGAATCATAATTACCAGTCTAGCGGAACACTCGTTTGGACCGCGGTCCAATCGACGTTTGTGGGCGGCCTGTTGACCGCCACCCCCCAACTAAGCTATGAAAGCAAAACAGCATAGACTCCCAAAAGCTCACACGGACCCGGGTCAAATGGCACCACGAGTCTGACTGTAGTCCTCTACAAACCAAAATGTCAGGGTCCACAATAGTCTTCAGAGTCTTCAGCGGGTATGTTCACTGGAGGAGGAATGTATACAATTGCTGCCTTCGCGTGCAGTGCGAAAAGAATTTGCACCTTCCTGTGGGACCTCCTAGTCAATCCATTACTTAGCCAACCCCTAGCGCCAGGTAAATGTCCAATCATGTCCAATCCATACCCAACCCCAAGGTAATGACTGTTTGCCTGTCGAAGAATATACATATATATATATATTCAGGTTTTGTGAGATGAGATCATTGTCACCAATTCCATCCAATTCCTAAGATATGAGATATCCACCCTTCAGTGGCCAAAAGCATCCCAAAAAGCAACAACACCCGGTTCAACATGCCCAGGAGTTTGGTAGACTTTCCTGTTATGGTACTTTACTTCGACAAGCTTCTAACCAAGTATAGCTTTGCACGGAAAAAATTAATGGGCCGATCTTGAAGCCCTTTGAAGAGGCTTGTGACATCATATCAACTGGGATGCAGGTGAAAATTCCAGAGTTGAAGAACCCGTTGGAACTGCTGAGTTCTGAGCCGCTTTGCGGGTGATTACACCCATGCGCATGAGCCACTTGCTAAGGTCAATAGGTGTCCTTTGTGATGGTTGCCCAACCTGGTAAGTGGTGTCTCCAAAAACTACTTGGAGCGTCGCACTAGGGTTAAAGCTTTGGGGTTGAACGTCAGCACTAAGGACTGGCTCTTGAGCACGAAGAAGGGTACAGGACCGAATCCCGGGGTGGACGGGTCAGACCCGAAGACCTGAGCGGATTTCTTCTGGACCAAGGGGGTTTAAGACATCCCGAAATCGCTTGGTGCCACGTCGTTTCCCAAATTGTTCACTGGAATTTTCATTCAGACTGTCCCATTTGAGCCTCCGATTTGGAGGTGAATTCAGGCAGCTTGGGGGATCGCGCCAGAGCACTGTGCGCGGCGGGCAGAGGGTGTCGGATTCATGTTTGGTTCTTCTCCGTTGAAAGAAGCTGCTACCATGGTGAGTTTGTTCCTTCTTGGTTCTTCTCCGTTCTAGATGCACTAGTTTTCTCCATTCTGGCACCACGCCCATGCCCATGTTGGGTAGCTTGCCTTCCTCAGACCTTTAGTTCCAGCTAGCTGAGGCACTTCGCTTCATCCCGAAGACAATGGCCCAACGGAGGAGCTCATGTCGCTCATATGAGTCAACGGCCCAACCGCCCCCGACTTTGTGAGGACAAAAAGGCATCATTGGAGCCGTGGCCTCATCCCCTCAGCAAGGAGTGTGCGCCGGGCGCCGCCCCACAGGGGCCGGAGTCGTTGAGTTGAAGCCAAGGGAACTGCACGCCTACCTGCCAACGGAGGGTGGGATGGGATGACAACCTGTTGCATCATGTCGTGTCCCCCTTTTCTTGTATCACTTTTCGCTTAGAGGCTTAGAGGCTTTTAGTTGTTGTTGTTGTCGTAGTTGTAGTAGTTAGTAGTTAGTAGTAAGTAGGAATAGTGTAGTAGTAAGTAAGTAGTAGATAGTAGTAGTTAGTAGTAGTTAGTAGTAGTTAGTAGTTAGTAGTTAGTTGGTGTAGTAGTAGTAGTAGTAGTCGTAGTAGTAGTAGTAGGAGTAGGAGTAGCAGTAGGAGTAGCAGTAGGAGTAGCACTAGTATGGTAGTAGGAGTAGCAGTAGGAGTAGGAGTAGGAGTAGGAGTAGGAGTAGCAGTAGCAGTAGCAGTAGTAGTAGTAGTAGTAGTCGTAGTCGTAGTAGTAGTCGTAGTATATATATATATATAGTAGTCGTAGTCGAAGTAGTAGTACATAGTAGTCGTAGTCGCAGTAGTATAGTACATAGTAGGCGTACTCGTAGTGGTAGTGGTAGTGGCAGTAGGAGCAGCAGCAGCACTAGTCATTAACCAAAATCAGCTCAGGGAGAGAGTAGCATTCTGTCATTCCAACCCCAAAGACAGTTCAAGGGTAGGGAGTAATCTGGGAAGGGAACTTGACAATTCATGCATTGGCTGACTTGCTGACTTACTTGCTGGCTGGCTGGCTTCGCTTGCTGGTCTGGCTTGGCTTGGCTTGCTTAGTTTGCTTTGCCTTGCTTTGCCTTGCCCGGCTGCTTGAATGCTGCATGCTTGCTTGCTAACTTCCTCATGAGCATGTTCGAAGTGCTTCGAGTGCTCTTTGATGCCTTTGACAATTTAATTGGGTCGCCTGGGGAAAGTTGTTTTCATGTGTTTTCATGTGCAACGACCAAATGAGTCCTGAGACACGTCACTGAGATAGGTACGCTGCAGGCTCCTACCATGGAAACGTTGCCGTGTACCAAGAAGGATCCAAAGGCGAGCTACTCAGCTGAGGAAGCCGGTGTTGCTGAATTCCATTTCTCAAAATTTAGTGAGACCGAGCAATTGAAAAAAGACAAGGAACATAAAATAATGCATTAAACTAAAATACCTTTTGAGGGTTTGCACCCAAATGGTTTGGCGCAGAGTGTGTGCTTTCTGACACGAAGCCTTGACTCAAAACAGCTCCACTATACGAACTTATACGAACAACGTGATTCAACAAAAAATGAAACAGCTGTAGACAGCTGAGACCATGTAAAGCGCCGTAAGAAGGAACCAGCTCCCTTCATGCATTCAATCGTTCTCATGACGAATCTTTTGGCACGTGTGTGCTTTTATCAGCGCGTGCCCTTACACGATCCCTGCAGGCAAGGCGCTGGGACGCCTGAGTGAAAAGGCGAGTGCGAAGCCGCTTGGTTCGCGAGGTGCAGTCGTCGACGAGGACTCCAATGGTTGTGGGTGAGAACTAAACACCATCCTCCTTGTTCTATGTCTCTCCTCGTAGGTCGAGACCAGACGTGCCGTTTCATGGCGTCTGAAACAGCGCAGTCTCTGCTAGCTACTCTCCGGAGTCCGGACCTGTGGACCCAATTCGGACTGTTCGGGGTGATTGCAGAGCAGCCTTCATCCGGGGAGCCCACATGCTCGCTTGCATTGGGCATGGGCATTTGTTTGTTGACATCCGAGGCTATCGCGCGAACACCGATACTCGGAATCACTGGCCTACTTGTACCGATAGTTTAGTGTAGCCCTCCACCATGAGTAGAATGGTACTGTAAGAATTGAGCACAAAGACTTGTTGTGAGGATCAGATTGAGGAAAAGGCAGCCAAGCAAAATATAAGCAACCTAGACCTAATCAACCTATCACTCAGAGTTGTATTTGACTTGGATGGCCGCCACACCTTCCTGTGCCCCATGAGCTTGCTGAATCCCAAGCCTACCATAATCTACCTGAAGTTCGCCAAAAGACACACCGTGCACTTTTGCCTATGATTCTTACACCCATTTAGGGACCTTGTATTAGCCTCGTATTAGCATAGCCAATCATAGAGTAGTAAATATCTGTTCATGGACAACATCTTCCCCACGTGCCGGACTGTAGTCCCTTCCCCTCACAAATTCAAGAGCCCAGCGCGTGGGGAGCCCAGCTGAGTCCCACGGATTCACCCGCGCAGGGCATGGGCGGCGTGACGCAGTTGATGTTTGGCAACTCAGGATCTCCGGGCGTGGACAGGCGGAACGGAGGTGTTCCAACAGTTGTGGGTGGTTAGAAATCAGGTTGTTCCGTTAGTTGAATACCATTATTTGTTGACGTTCCCAAACATATAATGAATTATTATCTATATATTGTTGCCAGAAATACGGTCCTCAAAAGGTTGATTCAATGCTTCAAACATCCCCTTGCTTCAGATTATGTTGCACGTTTGGTCGGTTTCTATATTCCTGCCAAGAGCAGCATTTTATGGTCATTCAACATCCCCGAACAGAAACTTCTCAAATGTATGATCAGACATGTTCATGTTGTGTTTGTTTGGGGAATGCTTGGAGGCTGCGGACAGTCGGAATGTTGGGTTCGGTATGTTTGGGTTTAGGTTGAATAAAATCAAACACATACTAGATCATACTAATGGTTTCGGATATGTTTATTGTCAACCCGTACCTGGGGATGATTGGACCCTCTGACTAATATTTTTCAAGTGGGATGAAAACACCAACCAGCATATTGTGATTAGTATGGTGGACAGGATTGCTCAAGACAGAAGATCCTTTCCATGGACTTGTGAAGCAAATCATTGTCTTGGGCAGAGTGCACTGGACGGGATTTGAAGAGCAGACTCTGTCCAATGTTAGAAAAGTTGGATCAAGTTCAGGATGGTTCCTGCATGGACATCATGTCACATATAAAATGCCTTTTTGGCTTTAGTGGGTAACAACGGAATCTCAAGCATGACAATCTAATATGCCCAGGACCAATGAGAGGACTCCTTGCATCAATCTCTTTCCTTTGAGAGCCTTTGAAGCTATCATATCCTGGTGTCCACATGTGGACCTGCCCCATAGGGGGTGATGATCCACATGTGCTCATAGGCTGGGTCTATCAGAGTCTATTATTGCATGTCATATGTGTTTTGGGAATCGCGCCAAGACTTTGTTTTGAGGTTTGTAGATGAGTACCTCTTGCTGAGCGGCCATCGCAAAGATCAGTATCTCCGGATGTGTGGGGTGGCTGAGTCCAATCACGAGCATCGGAGATGGGGCGGAGGCTCCTGGAATCTCATATCGAGAAGACACTGCTTTTAATTACCCTGCTACGGACAAGTAGAACCAACAAAAGAAAAGACAAAATACAAAACCGGGCTAAAGGTCTAAAGAAAAAGACAAGAGCAAAATGAGCAAAATGTATAAAATCTAAAGTTTGAATCTAAAGAACAGAATCTAAAGGTCCAAAGAAACAAACATGGATTTTAACAATCTACTCTACTTCGAGTGATCTCCACCATGTCATTACTCCATGGCGCGTGCAGACCCTCCAGCCGCTGGCTTGCCACTCAGGCTCCACCCAAGAGCCACATCATAGCTCACACGGCTTCTGGTGCCATATGCCAAACTTGGCCTCCAATTTCTTCAGGCACAATGAACATGATGTCTCCATGATAAGTGGTGCTGGAGGTGCTGGTCACCAACCCAACTCAGCTCATAACGCCAAACATGAACAGCACCGGGTGTCCCAATTTTCAACTCGTGACCGGACGAGTCCACGGCCGCAACATCGCAGCCGCCTGACCGGACAGCTGGCTGGTGCGCCATGGAACCACTGCGGTGCGCAAAAGCAAACCAGTCGCACTTCTCGAGCCAAGTCGCTTTCCACCATCCTTGCTGTGTGGTGTACATACTTGCTGTGTGTTGGCTGCCATGGTCGTGAGTTTTGTGGTTCTCGACTTTCTTTGTGGGTCCTCGGGTTGTGTGCTGTGATTGTGAGATTGTGGTTGTGTGTTGTGATTATGTGCTGTGGTTGTGTGTTGTGGTTGAATGTTGTGTGCTGTGGTTGTGTGCTGTAAATGTGTCTTTGTGGTTGTGTGTTGTGTTTGTGATTGTGTTAGTGATTGTGTTTGTGGTTGTGTTTGTGATTGTGTGTTTGTGACTGTGTTTGTGGTTGTGTCTGTGGTTGTGTGATTGTGATTCTGTCCGGCAGTGCCCAGTGCAATCGGAGAACGGCCTCGTTTTGGAACGCGCAATTGGTCTCAATTTGGAACGCGGGCGATTGGTCTCAATTTGGAACACGGTGTTTATTTCTTTTGGTGCTTTATTTGTTGGTGTTGTTTTTCTTCTGGTGTTTTTTTGATGCTGCTTTTTCTTCTTGTGTTTTTTTGTTGGTGTTTTTGGTTGGTGTTTTGTGTTCTTCTGGTGTGTTTTTGTTGTTGGTTTTGTTTCTTTTGCTTTTTTGTTGGTGTTTTTTCTTCTGTTTTTTTGGTTGTATGTTTCTTATTGTTTTTGTTTTCTTCTGGTGGTGTTTTTTTTTCTTCTGGTGGTTTTTCTAAGTTGTTTTGTTCTTCTGGTGTTTTTTTTAAATGATGTTTTATCCGTGCCATGTTTCATTCCAAAGCACACCTTTTGTAAGCCACGCAGGGGTAACATTTAGAGCAGGAAGGTGCCATTCCAAAGCATGCCGTTTGTGCACCACGCGGGGGTGAAGCCAAGCAACGAAGCAAGCAACGAGCCGCTATATATAGGCTATAGACTTTGTTTGAATTATAGCCCCTCCCCTGACCCCATCTCGAATGTTAATTGATTGAAGGAGATCAACACAATAGAGCATCCCAGCAAGGGATCCAGGAAGGAAGCGGCAAAGCGACGAAACCACCAACGAAGCCACTGGGGAGGCGCTGCGCCCTCCCCCGCGCCCCCTCGCGCTTATTTTGGAGGAGATCAAAGCAACAAAGCAAACGAGGAAAGTATACTACCTTGGAATGGCACCTTCCTCCTCTAAATTTGGCCCGCAAACCGATTTGACATCGCGTGCACACTACATATCAATAAACTTCTATCCAACGCCGGAATCTATTCCACTGCAAAATGAGCTGAATCATGTGCTCCAGAATGAGCTTAAACGAACAATTTCTGTGTGTTCCAAAATGAGCCGAATCGTGTGTTCCAAAAGGAGCCTCCTCCCATGCAATCGGGAGTTGGCGGTTGAGGTCCGGCAGGGAACACTGCCACGCAACCCTCACAGTTGAGGTCCAGCGGGGAACACTGCCACACGACCCTCGCAGTTGAGGTCCGGCGGGGAACACTGCTACGCGACCCTCGCAGTTGAGGTCCTGCGGAGAACACTGGCACACGACCCTGGCTATTGAGGTCCGGCGAGGAACACTGCCACACGACCCTCTTAGTTGAGGTCCGGCGGGGAACACTACGCGGAGGATGAGGAGGAGGAGGAGGTCGGCGACAGCTGACATAAATTCTAACAAACCTCAACTGACAGGTGGGGAAAAAGACGTCAAAGAAGTACAAAGGGTGCTGCTTTCACCTCACTTCGAGAAGACAGTGCATTTTCCTATGATCTTTCTTGAACGACACAATGATCTACGTGTTTTTTGATCGACTCACTTTTGAGTGACGTGCTGCTCTCGCAGATGCTGCCGTATTTGCACTGGACTTCCCCGCGTCCAGAAGCTACAGGACTGGCAGTCAACTCAAGGGTCCAATCCATCACACAAGTGCCTCCGGCATTGTCATCAGCACCCGAGCAATTGTTGATGGCATCACTCTGACCTTATCTTCCTGCCGAGGGGACCTTCGCATGCTGGGAGATTCTCAAAAGGCAAGGGCTTGTCGACCATGGTAAGTGGAATCAGGGTGAAGGGAATTCAATAGTTGGGAACCATCCGATGGTTGGACACTCAGATGTTTGAAAAATTCACACATGGGCTCTAAGCAAAAGACTATTTGGGCCATCCATCTAAAGAAACATTCAACATATAGAAGAGCGGTTCCGAAAGATGTTTCCACATCCGCAAGTTTTGGTTGTTTTTTGATCAAATTCCAGCTGCAGATGTATCAAATGCCATCCCAACCTTTCAATCAAACAATTGTGTTTTCCCTCGAATTTATATATACACATGTTTCAAGCAACACTCACCCGCAAACACTGACTGTGGTAGCCACTATCAAGGCCCTGACGTGGACTCTTGTTCTTCAAATCAGTGAGACAATCCGATCTTGTGAGCAACTGCAAATGTATGCTGCAGACCAAGTCTCAACCAAGAACCCCCCAACAGGTTCATGTTTTGCCAAAAGGTACGTTTTGCCTGTGACGTGTGCATTTGCGTGAGGCGTTGCTGAACCGATTTCCGCGACAGGCCCAAGGGTCTGCAGCGGAGCCGAGCTTCTATGTATTGTACTGCAGTGTTCGCAGAATTGACACAGGAACTTTGTGAATGTGAGTTTGTATCTAGATGGAGGATCCAAATCTCGAGTTTTTGCTGATGAGTTTGTCATGATTTGTCATGGATGATAAACTCAGAATTTTCGACACGGTCTTTCCTCACCATCGTCACAGGTGCGCACGCACCAGCGGATGCTCTTCGGGATTCAGGCGACGGGGGGAATGTCGGGTATTGGTGTTGTGTGCGTGTGTCGCAAACGAGCGTAACGGTAGGTTTGCGGTGCTAAACAGTTAAACAGAAACAGACCAATCACACCGCTTGTGTCCATTATCCTTTCTATACTACACTCAGTGCGTAGAGTTCTCATCAGACACTCCTCTTTTTCAACGAGCCTCGGATCCAGCGACGCTATGTCGAGCCATGCCTACAGGTTCCGGTCGAGTCAAGAGTTAAGAGGTTGTTTCGCAGTTGATTGAGGAATGTTCCGCAAAGGAAAAAGGAACAAGATCCGGATTGTGCTTTGATATGTTCTCTTGATCTATAAGTCTACACACACACTCTCTCACTCTCTCTCTCTCTCGTCCAGAAAGGTTCCGATTGCTGCCAAAGAGGAAACAGAAAACATGCTGGGTTGGAGCACGCAGTCTCCAGGGCGACCTTGTCAGCTTTGGAGATGACCAGGGTGCTGTGCGGTCGAGGGACCTGGCGGAAAGCGCTGCGGAAACCGAAGCGAAGGGTGTTGGTCCGTGTCACCTGCGACATGGGAAGAAGCTATTGCTGTCACTTGACTCGACTAGGAATTTCTGAAGATTTCATTTAAGTAAAAACAGGCTAAGGGGAGAAATCTCTAATGTAACCCACCGCCCTGGCCTGGTCAGAGAAGAGTTGGGTGTCTCCTCATTTTGAGCCGCTCTGGCACCTCCAGCACCCTCTATCATTGAAATGAGCCTACCTACCCGCATCACCAACAAGAAAGTTAATTCCAGAAGTTGCAAAGGGGTGGCTATTGGAAGCTAGGGATGTTCTCCACTCACTTGGCGTCCAAACACCTACCTTTGAAATTCTTTGGAGCTCCTACTTGTTGTACCTGCACTTCCATCAACAGTCTCATGCCATACAGCCTTTGCACCTCCCTGATCCACCAGATAAAGCAACCATCAACTTGTTCTCCGACCAAATCAAACCCCCACTCCATCCACTCATCTCCATCTCCCTTTCATGTTACATCAATCATTTCAATGACTCATTTGCCATTCTTCTGAGGCTCTTCTCTTTGAGCTCCTTCGAGGAGCTTGTGTCTTTTCCCGCACACCAGCGGCCCTGCACTGCCGCTACGCCCGGGCTCCTGGTCGTCGCCACCACCGCGTAGCCACCGTCAAAGCCGAACAAGGTGTTCTCGGTCGAGGGTCCAAGTCCATGCCATAGCCTATAGACTCTAGACACTCGTCCTTGTGCTACAATGCAATTTGAAGGCACCCTCATCGCGTCATCTAAAACATATTGGTATAATTTGGTATATATTGGACCTCACATCAGCATGCCATTTGTCCCGCAGAAAAAAAGAACTACGTGCAACAACTTCTAAAAGCGGGTTCCGGAGCACGGGGGGATTTGCAAACATATAGATATGTACACATTATGCATGTATGCTGTATAATACTGATACTGTATAACATAAATTAAATCTATACCACTGTGTTCAGTAAATGATGTTGTTTCCACTCATCGGCTGGGCTGTTCAGATCCTTCGCCCTAGGCTTCGAAGGGAGAGCACGAATGGGAAGAGTGGTGACCTTTTGAGGCGAGTTCCGGGAGTGGTGACGTAAGAACATGTTCATCATGTGGAGAGCTTTTAGCAGAGCATCCTGATCTGCGTGATTTTCGTGTGTCACGGATCTGTATCCAGTGTATTTTGTTTTATTTTGTTCAGAGAGATGTTGAGAGTTGCAGTGTGATATAAGTGTTAGGCTAGCTGACTAGTCTAGCCAGTCGGAATAGTTGATAAACTCGCAAGTTTGTTGCAGGGTGTGGGTTATTGATTACGAAAGCCAGCCTTCGTAGAAGGCGCTAGCGGAGTTGTGTCTGGCGAACGAAGTGAGTAGTTAGGGGGTCTGGGGGGGTGGCCCGAGAAAGGTATACGTCAACTCAGCACATGCTGGGGGAGGAGGGTGCTCCGAGGGAAGGTTTTTTGAGGTTGTGTTGGAGGTGATTTTTGAGGGGTGGTGATGCAAGAAATGCCAAATGCATCATTTGCATCATCTGAATGGAAAGGTGTAGTTAGCACCTTGCAAGGTAGAGAGACCTAGGGTAGCTATAGTGCAGCTACCAGGTATAGTACTTCAAGTTCCCTTTCCGTCAACCGCTTGAGAACCTCTACACACGCACAGCAATCCACAGCCTTGAAGTCTCATTCGTGCTTTGAACTTGTATAGGTGTGTAAGAGGCATAGCAACATACTATTTATACGGACCCAGGGTAGCTACAAGTAGCTACAGTTCTGGTATGGCGCGCAGCTGTGGTTTTCAAGCTAAAGTCAAGGTGGCCTGAGACCAGGGTTTGCTGCCCTAAAACACTCTGTTCAGGCCACCTTGAAAATAAAGGTGTAGTTGGCACCTTGCCAGGTATAGACACCCAGGGTAGCTATGTAGCTGTGGTTTTCAAGCTAAATTCAAGGTGGCCTGAGACCACGGTTTGCTGCCCTAAAACACTCTGTTCAGGCCACCTTGAAAATAAAGGTCTTGTAGCTACAATTCTGTTCCCAGGTATGGCGCGCATCAGGCTTCACAGACAGTGGAAATAGCTTCTTCCCGGCTTTGCACTGCGAATCAGCCCCACAAAAGCGCTGGCTTTCGTTTTGCAGTTTCTCAGGTATGTTCTTTATCTCGGGCTATAAAGGCATTTGTTAAGGCTGGTGTATTTGTAGGTGGACCTTGAAATTGATCCAAGAGCTATTGTTGTTGTGGTGGATGGATAGATGTATAAGGAATATGTTTCATGGTCACCACATTTGCAAAACAGGAGCCTTATTAATTAAATAGGCTAGCCCGCTTAAGAAGGTGCTCTCGTGGTGGTGCACCGTTTTGCTTCCAATGGTAGGGGGCATGTCAATGTCGCTTGCTCAGCAATCGTTCGCTTACCCAATACTGTCAGTGGGTCGGCGGTCAGGTTTTGACGGCTTCATGAGGTCAACCTTTGAACCAGGCAAAACCGGATATTGACGAGTGCAAATGTTGTGGAGAATTTGCGTTTTACCCACTGGGAGGCAGTCTATAGCAACACTGATAGAAGCCGAGTCCTATTAATTATTTCCGTGCCAGCCAATGCCACCTGCCTGCATGTAGGCAACACAGCGACTACTGTAGGCTGTACCCGCACCGACCAACCATCCTCCCAACTGATTGCCCGCAGACCAACTGATCTAGTTCAGCGATATTTTGAAGGCACTTGGCAACAAACAGGAAAGCGGACAAAAAACAACACCCAGGTGTCCCAAAACAACGACTTTTTCCCGCAAGTCCGCTGTAGCTCTTCAACAGAAGCTGTGGCTGGTTGATACACAGCACGACAGCACTTGCACCACAACAACCGCAGCAGCGACGACGGCGGTGACAGTGAAATAGTTGTACTCGCATCAACCGCATCGCATCAGGAATGTGTTGTCAAGTCGTACCGTCAGCTGGGATCGCTTTCAGTTGTGACGCTGCTGAAGTTCAATGCAAAACACAGTCAAGAGACAAGGCCCTTGCCATTGAGGAAAGAGTTTGCTTCGTTGCACCTCTGAACTGAAGGATTCCGTTGTCCGTTGCCCCTTGATTCCCGTAGTCCGCCCACAAGTGATTTTGCAAGTGTCACTCTATCAAATGCGCAAGGTATCTAGAAGCTGGCTGGGGTCGAGGCCCAGATTTCCTCTTCCTCCTCCGCGGCTAGAAACACAACAGGTGGTTGGACAAAGCTTTGCCCTTCCTTCTTTCCACGCTGTGTTTTTAGCAGCTGGTTGGGGGGCCTGGGTTTTCTCCATGACCGCAATTTCTTTTGAGCAAAAAAGCATCAGGCACTTTCATCTTTGGCATCGTTCGACATAGTGAACAACAACACCATTGCACACCAACAACGAAGCAAGAATCCATAATTTTTGAAGATTGCTCTCTTGAATATGAGACCTACCTTATGTGGTGCGGCTGCGCTGGACGGGCAACGTAAGGAACGGCAGTTTAACAGTTTAACAGCAGCATTTTTCTGCTCAAGGCATTCATGGCCGCTTCCCACATTGAAGAACCACGAACCTTGTGAAGGCCAGCGGCTGTCTAGCCCCCTCAGCAAACTTCCAGTGCGTGCTGCCGCACTTCTTTCGCTTCCGAAACGACATTGATATTTAACCCCCAATGGCCCGTCAGATGTGTTTCACAATTTTCCTTCAACCATTCAATGACACAAAGCAGTCCGTTCCTTGCGCTGGGTCCAGAGGCACTTTGTCGCCCAAATCAACTCTGAACGTCCAACAAAATCACCCCAAGCATCTTGCCTTCCATCTCTTTCATCGTGCAATCCTCTTCCTTTTCCAAACCACCATCCCAATTAGACCATTGAGTATAGGCATCCACCCTCACCACATAGAGCATCCATTGCCCATTCCTCCTCCATCTCTCATCAAACTTGGGCCAATATGCTAAGCTATCTTTGTTCTCATGGTTCAAACTCTCATGGTTCACACAGAATGTCCATAATCGGGTCATCACCTGCAAACCCTACTAGGAAAAAATTGCAGGCCCTTTCAGAACTTGACCACTGGCTTTGGGTCCGTCGCGTTCAGTCGACTGAACGCCGAACGCTCGCCTTCCGCGCAGTTGCTCGGGCTCACGGCACTTCCCCAACTATGATGCCTGGCAGCTGAGAGCGGGGTGTTTTGTGGGACATTGACATTGGTCTAATCCTTGCGGATGGAGGAACCCTCAAAAAAGTATGGTTCTAAGTTCAAAGTTCTAAACCGGAGTGCATGTGGTGTCTGTGAACTTAGCTTATACTGTATAATAGATAGAATCCTCTGCAGGTAAACCGCACATGTCAATTTTTGTGTTCCAGATGTTTCCAGATGTTGCTATCCAGATGTTTCCAGATACCCCAGGAGGAACGAAAGCCGCATCCAGACTCTGAAGCACACTACGAAAACCGCCTGGTTGCAGTGGTGACTCCGATGTTTTTCAACGGCAGCGAACAACGACTCGGAGTCGAAAAGATTGAAATTCCATGAATTCCCGGCTGGTAGCATGTGTTTTTTTTGTTTAAACACATATTTCAAAACGGATTCCTCCAATGTTTTCCATATAATACAATTGTTCATTCATGTTCATTCAGATGCATATCCAATATAGTGTCAAAAACTTTGATCATCATATATACCTTCACGCAACCTCTGACATAGCTTGCTGCCCTAATTTTGGTTGCAATTTGTGTTGGTTCTTGAGATCACTCCATCCTGGAATAGACATATTTATATAACCACGGCACCAGGGATGCATGGGTCGGGTAGTGTCACGCTTGTCGTATTTAGTTTACGTTAGACGTCTCCAGCCACCACGTGCTGCGATAAAATGTTTTTAACAATGCCAGACACAACAGCTCATTCTTTCTGCCATTCTTTTATGGCACGTCTGAGTTTGACCGATTTCGAGCGGCTTTAGCAGTACCAACTAGTTTTTGTTGCACCCTCCTTTAAGCAACCACAACGGTAGTAATTCAGGCTCTCAAACAGATGAACTTGAGAATGTCCCTGCATTGAACAGATGTAGCAGGAAATGTTTCTGCAAGGGAGTCCGTCCTGCTTCTTCTTCTCCATATTATGGCTTGATTGCATGCCGCATGACAGTGTTGATGTGTTTTCACCACATGCATGCTCAGTACTCCCCCTCGGAGATTGAACCCCCCTGAAACATGCACACTCACAGGTTTGGATTGCGTGTCCAGTCCGATTGGCTGGGGATTCTAGCATGGTGTTGATCCTATATACATTCCACTTCAATATAGTTGATGTTCTGATACCAATTGAGATATGATGTGATTGTTTTCTTATATATGTATATGAGATGTGTTATTTTACTCATTGTAGTTTGTTTGTGTCATTTGTCTCACTGGTGTCATGGATCATGTTGTTGAAGAACTCCTTGGTCTATCGCATTGATTACTGTTGATTGGCCAAAACAAGAACCTTAAGCCTTCATCAACTGATGATATCGATTTTGTGGAACTAAGCGTGTCGTTATCGAAGGTATATATAGTGATCCCTGCAGGCTAGTACATAACATTTGTACACGTACTTTGCAGCCCTCTTTGAGGTCCGAGAAAAGGAGCGCCACTGCTTGCATGGTAGCGGAGCCCGCCAGGGCTCCTGCTCCTGAACCCCTGTGAAACCGGTGTAAGTCCCGAGTGGCGTCGGTGTGGGCGGCATCCTGTAAATCCACGTGAAATCTCGTGGTGTGGACTCGGCGTAAATCCCTGTGCCGGGTGGCAAGCAGCGCACATGGCCGCGCCGCTGACTCCTCCGCAGGCCTTCGACTTGGCCGCTGCAGCTGCTGATGGCTTCGAGGCGCCTACGTCCCAACCACATCCTCTCCTACCTCAGCCAGTTCCTGGTCCGCGCCTGATCGACACGAAGGCCATCGGAAAGCTCAGAGGATTCAGTGGAAAGGATGAAGATTGGCCAGCTTGGGTGTTCGTTGCACGGGGCTACGTGCACCTGCTCGACCGTGCTTACCGTGGCATGTTGGAAGCCGCTGAGAACGCCGCCTCCCAGAACGAGCTGTCCATGACCGATATGAGTGACACAGCTCAG